TGGGGGCGGTCTATAGATTCAGCCTCATCCTAATGACATGTGTACAGCCACTTCACACCTGTGTGCTCCTGAGTGTGTGTGGGCATATGATGTGTCTAAGCATCTCCCACGTAGTGAACCTGTAACCTTTTGTAGTAATGTGTCTCAGCCCTGTGTGGAAAGAGGGACTGGCTGTAGAACTGGGGTAGTATTTGTTTGGCTGGGAGTTTGCTATAGACATTGTGGGCCCAGGTGTGTGTGTTGCATGTGGAGGTACCTGTGGCCAGGTATTGGGCAGCCTGTGAATACCACTTCATTTGCAGCTGCAAAGAATGAGGAAAAGAGCATTGGGGGTGGGGGGTGGGGAGACAAGTCCTTTCTAGGTCTCCATTTTCCTTTCTACTAATGAGCTAGATTATCCTTGAGCACATTCTGCGATTGGAGCCCCTAGAAGGAGGAGAAGACAGAAGAGGATGGCACCACAGCACCCAAGGGGCAGCTAGAATCACTGAGGAGGGGACTTTGGAGAAGTTAGAGTTAGCTACAGGCCAGGCCAGGGGAGGCCAAGGGAAGGAGAAAGTGACTCCAACCCCCAGCTGGGCTAGCTTCATAGGAAGTCTTCTATAGTATCGTTTACCTTCTGAAACTCGGTCCTCAGCTGGGACCCACTATGGGGAATGCGCCCAGAAGACTCCCCAACAGTTGCCCCAGCAGCTGGGATTCCCAGACAGAAGCCAGGACTGAAGCCTAAGGTTTAAAACACCCTTGCAGAGCAGAGTCATGGCGCCTCTTTTCTCCTGGGAGGGCAGGATCATTTAACTGGTTCCAGAGGCCTAAAGAGATGGCCCCGCGAGAGACCAGGACCTGGACACCAGCCAGAGTCTCAAGATCGCGGACGTCATCAGCAGCCAAGCTGCGAGATGAGCACCCTAGTGATGCTGGCGTTCCAGACTGGGACCTAAGATGGACTTTGTCTGGCGGGTTGAAGTTCCTTTGCCGGGTTTCTGCGAGGATTGGAGATGGGCCTTACCTGGGCCCGGCGCTCGGCTGGCACTCAGTAGGCACGCAGCGGTCGCGCTTAGTAAACACTAGCTGTGATGAGCAAGACCCCTTTTGTACCTCAACGGGCTGCGAAGTCTTTTCGAGCCGCCGGCGGCGCGGCGAGTCCCAAGCATCCGCAGGGATCCCGCCCCCGCCCCCAGCGCGCCGCCGGAGCCACCCGGTGGGGTTCGGCGCGCTGACGTGGGCGGATCAAAGCGGCTGCCCGCGCCTTATAAAGCAGTTTGGGGCGGCCGGCGCTGCAGATCGCGCCCGGCGAAGGGGAGAGCTCCAGCGAGCAGATGAGTGCAGGGCCCAGGCGCTGAGCCCAGCGGAAAGCAGCTCGGCTCCGCGCCACGGTTCGTGCTGCACGCAAGCCGATCTCCGTTTGCGGGTATCCTCGGGATTCTTCTCCAGCCGCTCCACAGTGAGGGCGTCCTCGCTGCTCGCTCTGCCGAAGTGCGTTCGGGTCCACTAGGGGCCGCGCTCGCCGCTCGAGACCCATCTGGACAGCGGGGTACGCAGGGCGCGCACGAAGAGCGCCCTGAGAGGTGAGCAGTGGTTGTGGGCAGCCGGCAGACACTCAGCGGGGATCCGCTAAGGCTGGGGGCGCCCGAGTCCGAGGGGACCGCTCTTCTAGCACCCGCCACGACCTCCTTGGGCACCCATTCCCGGGCAAGCACAGCATGTCCTCCGTACCTCTCTTCTGCGGCAGTCCTAGGAATTCCGCTTGCGCAGCGCAGCTTCGGTACCTGACTTGAGAGTGGTTGCGGGATGGGGTGGGCTGCGCAGTTCCTAGGGCCCTCACGGACCTTTCCTGGCCCTGTCCCCCACTCCGGGACTCGACCCCCTCCCTTCTAGTCAGCCCGCTGATGAGGTCATGCCCGAGCCATCCCGGGGATGGGGGACTTGGATCCCTCGGCAAAGGGAGTGTGTGTGCGAGGCGGGAGAGGGTAGCAAAAGGCAGAGAAATTCGGCAGCTCCTACCAAATTGGAGGATGGGGGACGGATGCCTTGTTTTGAGAACTTCCAAAGGCAACAGGGGTAAGGCAAAAACCGAGTTTGTTTACAGACCTGAGTTCCAGGATGGGGGTTGGGGAGGAGGAGAGATCTGACCCCTGCCCCGCGGCACATCTGGAGCCACCCCAACATCTGGCTGAGTTCGCTCAGGAGCCTACACCTCCCGCCACAACCCCCATACCCGGCGCTGCGGTGTCTCCCGGTCCCTCATGGACCTAGGGTACGCAAAGTTGAGCTCCAGGGTAGGGATCCCAAGCTCCCCACCCTCCTCTTCCACTTCCAAAACACCGGATCTCCGCGGTGACGCTGCGCAGCGGCCGCAGCTGAGCAGACATATCCCGAAAGACTCGGGACTGGGGTAAAAGCCCGGTGGCGGTTGCTGCCTCGCTACACTTCTCCAGGTAACCTTGAAGCCGTGGCTCACCCGGTCCACTTTGAGGGCTGCACTACCCGAGGCTGGACCCGCCAGTGCGGACCTTCCGTGCAGCGTGGACACTGCCCCTGGTCGCGGCGCTCGCTCCGGGCCCAGCACCGGCGTGTCGGGGTAAGGGAGGCTATGCAAATCCTCGCCTCCTTAAGCTCAGAGCGTAGGCTGCCCTAGAGGCGAGGTTTCCAAAGTCCTCCACGGCAAGAGACATGACCACCTGTTGTCGGCACTACGCTCACGGTGTCCAGCGTGTGCACAGCCGTGGCGGTCCCCTTCTCCACCTGCTGCAGGTTGGGTAGCTTGGACCTATTCTCCAGGAGGAGGGAGGAAAGGACCTCTGTCTCTGCAGACACTGCACTTTAACGCGAGCGCACTACTACGCGCCTGGCCCCTAACGAGGCTCCACGCAAGGCCTGAAGCAAGTGGTCAGGACTGACCAAGGCATGTAGATGTCTTATAGAAAGACCGGAACGGAGAGGGGACTCATTCCACACGTCATCTCACCCTCAGACGAGGACACCCGGACCCAGGAAGAGGAGGGGAATTGCCCAAAGTCTCACCGCTGGGGAGACAGTTAATAGATCCCACCTTGAACCCCGGCTTAGCGCCCCCTGGCGGGCCGGGGACTCCGAGAGGCGAGTGCGCTCTGACCCGCAGGGCTTAGGTTGAGGGTGACCCAGCGGCCCGTGTGGCTGTCCTGGAGATTCTTACACGGGACGGGAATATCCGTCAGGACCCAGAGGCCCAGGTCAAAAACTTCCTCCACCAGCGACGAGGTGGAGCGCCGGAGGAAACCTGGAACTGTCGGAGCCACTCGGAAAGAGCAGAGAGTTGCTGCAGGCCTAGGTCCCGGTGCACCGTGTGACCTGGGCGGTCTCTCCTCTCCCTAGGAGAGTTGGGCTGGACACTGATCCTCCGCTGTAAGTCTGCGCGCCTTCTTCCTTGTGCAGCCCTTGGACCCTCCCCACCCAGTTATGCTGGGCGCCGTGGGGGAGAGCCCACACTTCAGGGGGCGGAGAGGAGAGACGGTGACTGGAATTTTGATCCCCTCCCCCAATCAGCAGATATTTTTCTCGTTCTGGGGAGTGCGGTAAACTTCCAGGACTAGTAAGACAAAGGATTCGGATGTAGACTAGGTGGAAGGAGGGGTTCAGCTACACCCATAACCCTGCTGTCACCGAGCGCCACTGTGCTGGGCGCTTAGCTGGGGGACTCTGTAGAGGAGGAAAAAAAGCAATTTGGAGTTTTCTCTTTGCCTTCCCCCCCCCTCTTTGCTTGCTTATGGCACACATGTACTAGCACATACTACACAAGTATACGTAATAATGGAAACCGGCAGAGGGAGGCTCAAAGACTCAAAAGAGGATTGGGAGGTTGAAAAGACCTCAGCAGATGTGTGAAGTTCAGTCCCTTGATTTTACAGAAAGGGAAACTGAGGCTGGAAGTGTTTGAGGCTTTGCCCAAGCTCACCGTGCCAGACGAGAACTCTTTCTCTTCTAGCGACCCCCCACCCCCAGTCGGGCTCCTCCTTTTTCTAACTCTGCAATTCCTTTAGAAAGGAATCCCTTTGTCTCTGCTCCTCAGAGGGGAAAGGGGCTGCTGGGGCTGTGTAGGACTCCAGGCGAACGCCAGGTGTTGGTAAATTTGGGAGAAGCTGGGAAGGCAGTTAATGAGGTGAGAATGAAGAGGGGGAGAAAGCCGCAGAAAGCAGCTCTGCGGATTGTGAGCGGGCGGGGTGGCAGCAGCTGCGCGGCCCTGGGACGCCGCCTGGCGGTGTGAGGCAGCATCGTGCCGGCTCGGCGAGCTACCCGGCTCTGCCAAGGCCGCGTGGCCCCGCCTGGAGCCTGGCCACGCACCTCACTCTCTCTTGCCCTCCAAAGTGGATCCACCAAATAGGAACTCGGAGATTCCAGACCCTGATTCATTATTGTTTTATAAAGAACTTTGCCATCCCATTCCTCATCCTCCCCTTCCCAGACAGAAACAGATGGCCCGGAGCAAGCCCCCATTTCCTGACTTCTCACTCGCTTGATCTCACCGGACACCGGTAGACCTGAGAACAGAACACCGAGTACAGACGGCTCACTGGAACAGCCTGTTTCACATCTCGTGGCCTCAGTTTTCTCATCTGTGAGATGGGCTGCCGAGAGGAGCAAAGGCTATCATGTTAGGAGAACGTTCCTTATAAAAAGTGAACTGTGCCCAAATCACCCCAGTTTACAGAAGGGTTCAGGAGAATCGCCAAGGTCATAATTAAGCTACTAATCAATAGTTCGGAGATAAGAACCCGGATCCCAGGCCCCGAAGCTGCTGTCTCCAGCCGGGACCCCTCTTGTTTCCGTCCCTGGGTCTGTAGGTCTGTCCAGTTTCTCCCTCTGCCTCTGCAGCTTTCAGCCTCGTTCTCTGAGTCTGTCTCTCCCTCTCGCTGTCACTGCGCCTGGTCTCTCCCAGCGACTCTGGTTCTGTAGCCTCCTGCCCTTCCTGGGCGGCCGGCGCTGCGCTAGGTGGACACGCCCTCGGCCGCGCTCTGGCCGCACCTAATTCGAGCCAGACTCTGGCGGGTCCCGGGGCCGTGCCGGGCGGGAGAGGACTCCGGCCGCGCGCTTGGCCTCCCCGGGTCCGACCCCTCCTTTGTAATTTGAATAAAACGCCTCCCCGTCCGCGCGCCGCCTTAACCCGCCGCCTCGCTCTCCTCTCCCCGACTGCAGGCGGCGTGCGCGCAGGACCCGCGGCGGTGGCCGTGCAGGCAGCGGGACTTCGGCGCGGCTTCTGCAGGGTGCGACCCCCGGGCGTGCCCGCGGCGCGACGATGAGGGCGCGGCCGCAGGTCTGCGAGGCTCTGCTCTTCGCCTTGGCACTCCAGACCGGCGTGTGCTATGGCATCAAGTGGCTGTAAGTAGGGACCTCGCCTCCACGCCGACGGGCCCGGGGCGGGAGTTTTGGGCAGGGGAGGGCCTAAAGGGGTCTCCTGGATTGGTCGAGTTTGCCAAGACCCGGGAGTCCAAGATGACTTGGGGGTCGTGAGGAATTCATTCTTCTTTAGCCTCGATTTCCTCCTCTGCAAAATGCCGTCCTTTCCAAGGGCTTTCGCAGCGGGCAGTGGAATTGTCCCGTCCTGGCCCGCTGATGTTTGCGCAAAAGCCACCGAGGTGTCTGTCACACACCTCCGCAAGACATCCTTGTCGAGGGGCGCACTCGCTCAAGGCGGCGAGCTCTAGATCGTCTCCCTTCTCAGGCTGTTGACCCTAGCTGGGGGTTCACAACGACATTCTTGACCTCTCCGCCTAGGTGACCTTGGGGAAGTGTCATTCTACCTCTGAGAGCCTCAGTGTCTTCCTCCCTCAGAGGAGGGGAGACTCAGCTCACTTAGATTCCATGGGAAAAGAGGCTCGGGGAGGACCTCTGAGCTGTCAGCGGCTGTGCACATGTGCAGGGGTTCCTTTGGGTATGAATATCAGGGGGCCATAGGAGACGGTCAGGTCTCCTCTCCGTGGGCAGCGCAAGGGACAGAGATGGGTGCGGAGAGAGAAGTGAAACCCGGCCCCTTGCTGGAGGAGCTGCCCTCTGGGTTGGGAGAGATAAGCCCAGGCCGTAAATAACTCCACAAGTGTCCAAGTGTCCTAGAAGAGACCGGTGCTGGGGTGTGGGGGCCCAGAGGTGGGGAAGCCACCTGGCGGGGTCACACACTTGGGACGCTGGGGAGATTTTCCAGGGCTTGCCCCCTTGCCACTGCAGAGCTCCATGCAGATAGTTAGGCAGGGCACAGTGGGGAGGAGAGTATGATGGTGGAGGAGACTCCCAGGGTGGGAAGGTCCAGGACAGGACACAGGTCTGGAGTTGGGGCAGGGGCAGCGGCAGCGAACCATGCAGATAAAACAGCAGGGAACAGATTATGGGGGCTGGGGAGGGGCCCCTAGGAGGGCTTGGGGATTAACTGGAACACAGGGAGATAGCTGCTGGGCCGTCAGCAAACAGTCTGGAGGTCATGGGCCCTGCCCCTTCTGGAACTGAGTTATCAATTAATTGATGACTCAAGAGGGGAGTCCTGTCTTCTGGTGCTTCCTGTTTGTAAGGAGAGGCCTGGGCAGGTGGTCTCCCCTCCCTGGGGCATAGGCTCCTCCCAGCTGCCCCTCATGAACTTTGAGAAACCACCACCTTCCTCTGGCCGTAGGCACCAGGATTCTTCCTGTGGGCAGGAACCCCAGTCATTGAGGGAATCCCCCCTCACCCTCGCCCACTTTACGGATAAGGAAATGAGGTCCTGGGGAAGGGAAGGATTTGCTGAGGGCACAAAGAGCATCAGAGACCTGGAACTGACTGGGCTTAGGTGACATTTGTAGTTCACAGGGAGACACAGGGACGCTGCTAACATCCAGGCCCTATGGTGGCAGGAGTGAAGCTCTGAGAAGTGCGTGATTCACACAGGCCCCCAAGCTGGCATATGGCAGGACAGGTAGCTGGCTCAGCCCAACACCCACGCTATCTGCACTGTGTAGCCCAGGCGCTACCCACTTAGTGTCTGCCTTCAAGAAGCTCCAGCCTCTTGGTGGGGAGGGACATGTGAAAATGCAAGGTGGGCTGTGAGCTGTCCTGGGAGGGAGCATAGGATCCCAGAGGAGAAGTGGTCAGTTCCACCCAAGGGAGGTAACTGCAGTTGGGCTTGGAAAGACACAGAGGATTCTGATGGGCAGAGATGGAAGGCCAAGCCAGTGTCCCAGATGGAGGAATAGCAGGAGCATAGCAGGAGGCAGGACCCTGCCTCAGGGAAGCTGGGAGAGACCAGGAACCATGAGCACCTGCTAGTAAGTGCCCCGGATATGGCTCCAAGAGCTGTGGTCATTTAATTCGTGAATGCTCCTATGTGGCAGGTAATAATCTCATCCCTACCATTTTTACAAACAAGGAGATTAAGGTAGAGAGAGGGTAAATAACTCACACAAGGTCACACAGCTGGTTCAGGGTGTCTGTAGGGAAACCCCAGCACAGTGGTACAGTGGGAGCAGGATGCTGGGGACTCATCCAGGAGGATCAGCTGTCCTGGGGCAATCCTGGGGCAGTGCTGCCCTGGGCTTTGGAAAGTGACTTATAGATGAAAGGGACATTTGACACAGAATCTGAAACCAGATGTGGCTGAGTAACTTGGGACGCTCACCTGGTGGGCTCACCTGCCTGAGCAGGTGGGGTGGTAGTCAGGATGGAAGCACCTGCTTCCTGGAGACCCTCCTATAACTTACTTCTCAAGTCAAGTGCTTGGAGATCCCCAGACCAGCAAGTATTGGGGGGAGGTCTGGGCACCCACCCCTTTGGTTGTCTGGGTGAGGGAGGGCCGAGGGTGGTCCCATTACCTGTGGGATTGCCCCATGAGAAGACAGGCCCTCCCTGTGCTGCCCTGAGCCTGCCACTCACACAGGGGTGGGGCCTCTTAAGGAAGAGTCCCAAGAAACTCTAGAAGGGCCATAGCTGCTGCAAAGTGAAGTGGAAGGAGGGAGTCTCAGCTTGGGCTCATTCTACCAACATAGCCCCAGGCAACCCTTCAGCCTCTCAGAGCCTCAGCTCCCCAGCTCTGCCATGCAGGGGAGGAGCCCCCACCTGGCCCTGGGAGGCCTGGGTTCCAGCTCGGTCTGTACGATTGGCTGTGCACAGGCTGGGCAAGCCCTGCCCTTCTCTGGGCCTCAGTTTTCCCATTCTCACCCTGGGAACTGGCACTGCCCTTTAGCTTTTCGATTGTCAAATCTGATGGAGGCTGTTGGGGCTTCCTTGCAGGATGGGACACAGAGGGGTCAGCACGTGTGGGGCCAGGGCAGGGAGCTTCTGAGGTCTAGGAGGTCTCCTCTAGGTAGGGCTCCATCTGCAAGTTCCAGGCCTTCACCACCCTTAGTTATCACAGGTACACAGTGGAGGAAGGGAGCTGGCCTGGTCCCTCTTGACTGTGAAGCCCTGGGACAAATTCTTAGGAGGAATAGGAGGACTCTTGCCATGTGGCCTGGGGGCTTCTTCCTGGGCTGGCAGCTGCAGTCCCCTGCCTGGTGTGGCTGGAGAAGGAGGAGCATTTCTGAGGAGCCTGGTTCCTAAACCTAGGGCCTAACTGAGGAGTCTTGCTTGTCACAGATGGAAGAGTTCTCCAAGCCCACCCAGGGGGCTAGACAGAAGCCCAGCTCTTGCTCCACCCTCCCTGCCTGTGAGCATCAGAATGAGGTGTAGTCCAGGAAAGCCCAAGGTGCTGGGCAGGTGGGTTAGAGTCCCCAGCTCCTCAGACTCCATCGCTTTCCCACCCCTGGGTCAACAGATCCACAGAGGCAGAACCACTGGGTCAAAATTTGTGGTCCCCTAATGTCCACCCAAAGCCCTACCCAAGGTCCTCCTTATCCTGAGGATGCCTCTGCCACTGACTGTTGACCTTATCCCATCTCTCTATGGGGGAAGCAGGAGCTTCCAGGCCACATTCTGGGTGTGCTGGTAGGGACCCTTCTGAGGCCTCATGAGCCCAGAGCTGTGACCGAAGCATCTGATAAAGAATGGACTGCAGAATGGCAGAGACCCTGGGGCTCTCGAAGCCTGACCGTAGGTCTTTGGCTAAGATCTCATCATATGGCCTGCCCCTGTGCCTGGGCAAGAGGGATGGAGGCCCTTCTTGCAAGGTGGCCTTACCTTAGGGAGGTGAAGGTAGGGCTGCTGACAACCTCAGGAAGACCACTCAGTGATAGGCTGGGCAGGGTGGGCACTGGGGAGACTGGAGGAAGCTGGGCAGATGCCTTGTCCCTGCAGGAGGCGGAGGGGGAAGGACCACCCAGGCGCAGAGATGGGCTGGTGTAGCAGAAAGGAGAGGGAATACATGGCTCAGGCGATGGGGGAGAGGTGAAGCCATTTGCCCAGCTTGTGTCACCCTAAAATGTCCCCGCCATCAGAGCCTGTGTCAGTCCTGGGCATAGAACACTATGGATGTGTTCTATGGGGCTGGGAGAAGGGTAGCAACATGCAGGGTCACGTGGTTAGGTGGTGACTGAGCCAGAGTTTGAACCAAGCCTCTGTCAGAGCCAGTCCCAGCAGACCCCTGAATCCTGAGTGAGAGAAGCCTGCTGCCCACCACCACCCCTGTAGAACCCAGGCACAGGCCTCCGGGTGAACTCTCTGTTCCCTCCTGTCCTTTCTTCCACCCTCTCCCCCACGCCCCACCCCTAGATAAACCAAAATGTTTCCAATTAGGGGTCTGCGGAGGGAGGCAAGCCTGGGGAGACTTCCACACAGTGACTCCCCCGCCTCCTGCCTTAGTCCTTGATTACCTCCCCAAGGGGGATTTAGTAAGAAACGGTCATTACCACTAATTACCAGAGGACTGCGGGCCTCCTCTGCTATGGAGTCTGCTGCCTCCCCCTGGTGCTTCCAGGGGTGAAGCCTCCCCCGCAGACTGCGGCCAGCTGCTCCTGTCCCAGCCAGTGGGTCCCTGGGGCCTCCCTCATAGGACCTTGCTCACTGCTAGCTGGGGAGGCTCTTGCTTGATGACTTCATAGATGGAAGTTAAGACCCAAAGTGGCTGCCAGGGTCCTCAGGGCCCCAGGCAATGAGCATCAGATCCTGGGAGCTCAGAGCTCCCCTCCTTTGGAGCTGTGGCACCCAGCACTCAGGCACTGCCTGCACTGAGACAGGATCAGCCCTCACCCCACTTCTTGGCTGGAGCAGGAGCCCAGGGAATGGACGGCAGCCCACGCTGCATGAGCTCGCACTGTGCGCCTGCCATTAGGCCACATGTTTGATTTGCTGTCACTCATGCAATCCTTCCCATTTTAAAACTGAGAAAACAGGCTCAAAGTAAAGGAACAAACTGGCAAGAGCAAGAGCAGGGAGGCTCGGGCCAGCTGTGCAGAGCAGGGCGCCCAGGAAGGAGGCCCACGCATCCCTGAGGGCCTGGGCCTGCTGGGGAGGGAAGACGGGACTCACAGGGGGATGCCGGGAAGCTCCACCACTGGCTGGGCCTCTGTCCTCATATGTGATAATCTGGTCCAGGATGACCCCTGAGCCAAGGAGTGAGAGCTCTGTTCACTGGGAAACGGACAGCCGACGCTGGGAGGAGCTGGAGGGGCTATGAACAACCAAGAGCCCACAGAGGCGTTGGCGTTGGCGTGCGCAGTCAGAGCCCTCCCAGTCAGGGCTTTGGGGGTTTAGACAACAGGCACCCCAAGAAGGCGAGGCCTAGGCAGCCTGGAACTGGTCCAGTTAGGTCAGGAAGCCCTGTCTGACAAGGCTCTGTGGACCACTGGTGCTGACGCTGCTGTCCAAACACATCAACATGTCCCTGCTCATGGCTTGGGGCCACTCTGCGCCTTTGATCTTGCCTCTTCCTCTGCCTGGAAGTCTTCCCTCCTCATCCAAGCGCATTCTCTCATTCTGTAGGGCTCTGGAATCCTGTTAGCCGCCTGCACCCCCACCCCAACATCCTCGTGGACAGCTTGCTGATTTTATCTGGGGAAAGGGTCCAAATCTTTTGCCTGGCTACAGGCCTCTCGACATAGCAAATGGGTTCAGTAATTAAATGAAAAGATAAAGAGCTCCTAACTCATCCTGGGCATATAGTAAATGCTCAATTAATAGTATATGTAATTATTATGATTATGATAATCTAGCAGTTAGCACAGTTTTTGGCACATGTGCTGAATGAATGTTGAGTAAAGAGAAATCATTCACAGCTGCGTGAGAACTCCGGATGGCAAGGGATGAGAGGGCTTTGTGAGGTGCAAACCCTTTTAGTGCTGGTACAATTGTCATGTGGCTCAGGTGGGTTGGGGTTGTGATCCTATGTTATGGTTAGGGCTTTAGGTCCAGAGGTGGCAAACGATGTGCCCAAGGTCACACCGAGTGGGAGGGGGAACTGCTGCTCCATCCGTGGCTCTTTACCTCTGGTTTTCCTGGCTCCCTCCAAGAAAAGCTCCAGTCACTGAGGGGAAAGCTGAGCTGGCAGGGCCAGCGGCGGCAACAGGGCCCCTCACAGCCCTGTCTTTCTTCCTTGGGTCGTTTTCGGCGGTGTGCAGGGCGCTGTCCAAGACACCGGCCGCCCTGGCGCTGAACCAGACGCAGCACTGCAAGCAGCTGGAGGGCCTGGTGTCTGCACAGGTCCAGCTGTGCCGCAGCAACCTGGAGCTCATGCATACCATCGTGCGCGCCGCCCGCGAGGTCACCAAGGCCTGCCGCAGGGCCTTCGCCGACATGCGCTGGAACTGTTCCTCCATTGAGCTCGCCCCCAACTACCTGCTTGACCTGGAGAGAGGTAGGGCGGGGGCTGCCGACAGCACCCGGGGGGGGGGGGGGGGGGGGGGGGGGGGGGGGATATGAGTGAATTCAGGCGTGAATCTAGGTGTGTTTGGATAGGTGGGTGGATTCACGGATGGGTGGATTCGCAGGCTCGTGGATGGATGAGTGGATCGGTGGATGACGGACCGGCAAGGACGCAGGCACGGCTGGGCAGGCCGATGGGTGCATGAGTCATTCATAGGTACGGACGGGCATTCAGGCGTGAGCCAGCGAGTGAGTGAACACTGGCGAGTGACACGCCAGTGCAGGGAGCCTGAGACTTTACAGGTACACACGCACCCCTCAGCATGGGCGGAGGAAGCAGGAGGCTCACAGCATGCCCCAAGGTCGTTCCCATGGTCCTGAAGGTCAGCCAGGGACTATATCAGTGAGGAGGCCTTAGAGCCCACCCTCAGGTAGCAGGTGTGCCCCAGGCAATCCTAGACCAGCTGATGGAAATTTTTTTTGTGGGGGTGAGGAGTACTGGGGATTGAATTTAACCACTGAGCCACATCCCCCCCCCCTTTTTTGTATTTTTTTTTTTGAGACAGGGCCTCACTGAGTTGCTTAGGGCCTCACTAAGTTGCTGAGGCTGGCTTTGAACCTCCTGATCCTCCTGCCTCAGCCTCCCAAGCTGCTGGAATTACAGGCGTGCACCCAGGTGCCAGGCTCAGCTGATGGAAATTGAGGGTCTTGCAGGTGCATGTGGGGGTTAGGGACAGGACATCTGTGAAGCAGGCTTCCTGGAGGAGGCGGGTGTTGGAGACCTGGCTATGATAGAGAGACTTTTGACAGACAGAAACGCCCAAGTGGGTCTTATCTCTCCACTGTGTGATAATAACTCCCCTTGTGGATCCTAAGCAGTGACAGCTCCTGTTTGTGTAGCACTCGATGCGGCCTCCTTCCTTCCTCCCCAGTTATCTGGAGGCCAGCACGGGCCTGCCGGGGGTATATCTCTATACTCTGCGGCTAAGGAAACTGAGGCTCCCGAAGGGGAAGTGCCTGCCAGTTAAGAGATGGAGCAGGGCTCGGACCCGGGGGACAGTGTCCAGCCAAGGCGCCTTGCCTCTGCCCGGATTAGTTTCCTGGGCTGCTGTGACGGTGTGCTACAGACTGGCTGGCTTCAAACAACCAAAATGTACCCTCTCCCAGTTCCGGAGCCTGGAAGTCTGAAATGGAGTCCTTGGCAGGGTCTGCTTCCTCTGCAGGCCCCTGGGAAAGCTCCTTCCTTGCCTGTTCCCAGCTTCTGGTGGCTGCAGGCATCCCTGCAGCTGCAGCACGACAGTCCCCATCTGCCACGTTCTTCAGCCCTTCCTCCCGGGCTCAGAGGGGGCTGTGGGCCACCACACCTCATAGGAAGGAGTCCCCTCCTGGCATTCTCCCTGTGTGTCATGGATCCCAAATCCCCTCTCCTCTAAGGGCACCGGCCACTGATTCAAGGTCTTTGATGTGGTCCGACTTCATCTTAGCTCGGTGCCATCTGCAAAGACCCTGTTTCTAAATAAGGTCACACAGGCGCTAGGAGGCAGGACTTGAACATGTCCTTTTTTGGGGACGTGATTCAACCTGCAGCAGGCTCTCTGCGCACTCACCTGTCCCGTCAGGCTCTGAGTGCCTTGAGGATCTCAGGGCCTGGCCTTTGCTTCTCTAGAGCGAAGGGGTCCTGGTAGGATGTGAGTGGGGTGAGCTGTGGGTGTGCAGGGGCTGAGGGGAGCGCGCCAGCCAGCTGGGGGACACCTGTGGGATAAGACTGACAGACTGATGGCCTTAGTGCCATCCTCCATCTACACCACCCTGTCCCTGTCTGACCCCTCAGTGGGGTGGGGGTGATGCAGGAGGGTCTCAGACCTGGGTCCGGTTCTATCCCTGGACCATCTGCCCCAAGTGACCTTGCACTTCTCACCCCACAGGGACCCGGGAGTCGGCCTTCGTGTATGCGCTGTCGGCGGCCGCCATCAGCCACGCCATCGCCCGGGCCTGCACCTCTGGCGACCTGCCCGGCTGCTCCTGCGGCCCCGTCCCAGGTGAGCCACCCGGGCCTGGGAACCGCTGGGGAGGATGTGCGGACAACCTCAGCTACGGGCTCCTCATGGGAGCCAAGTTTTCCGATGCTCCTATGAAGGTGAAAAAAACAGGATCCCAAGCCAATAAACTGATGCGTCTACACAACAGTGAAGTGGGGAGACAGGTAACCACCCACCCCCGGATGGTGTGCTTGTGCCATTGGCCAGAGAAGGCCGTCAGTGTGCCCCTGGAGGGGGGCGGGGGACGGGCCCTGACTGCCCACACCTGACGCACCTGCAACCTCCCTCAGCTCTTCCCTCTCCAGCCAGCTGCTTGGGGCTTGGCTGGTCCCTCCTCCCCAGGTCCACCGGATCTGGCTTGTCCCAGCAGAAGGAGCCCTGAGCTGGGAGTCACGAGCTCTGAATGGCTGAGGTGATGCTGGACAGTCACTTCCTCTCTGGCCTCAATTGTTCCCATCTATAAAATGGTGCGTGGGTGCTCAGCCCCCCTGTGCCTTGCTCCACAGCCCTGGGAGGGACCAGGAACCATGGAAACTTAGGCTAAGGAGTCATCTCCTTGGATTGGACAGGGAGCCCCAGCCAAGCCGACCCCAGCCTCTAAAACACACCCCAGCATCTATCATCATCAATTTTTCATTAGTTCCTCATCTAATAGCACAAAAAATAGCACAAGTGAACCAACGGACCTTTTTAGTTTCAAAAAAATTAAAACAAACAAGCACATTTCACACCAATCCATGGTCCAAACCCTGCGACAGATGCTTGATTTTCTTTCCTCTGGTCCGTAAACCACTCGGGGCAGCAGCTGTTCTCCCCTTTGTACAGATGGGAAGAGGCCCCAGACGGGCAGGGGCTCCTCAGCCAGAGTCATGTACAGATGGCGTCTCACATGCCCCTTAGCCCCGCGGTTCAGAGATGCCAGGTGAGGCAGAAAGAATCTACCTAGGTGGCCCAGCCAAGGACACAAGGCGCAATGGAGCCCAAGTTTGTGGGACTCTATGACCAGAGGCTTCAGTGCCTCTCAAAGGTCTCCCTCATGTGAGGTTTCTAGAATGTACAGGCCATCCTTGCCCAATCTGGGAAACTGAGGCCAAATCCCAGAGCTTGTATGGGAGTCTGTGTCCTGCCTCCCAGCTCTGCTGACCTGCACCTATCCATGGAGACCCCACCCCAGGGCCAGCCCCAGGCCTCCTGCCACCCGCTCATAGTACCCCCAACCCCTCCCTGCCAGTGCAGTGAATGACATTGTAAATGCCACAGGTTGGCACTGGCACGGGGTGGCCGAGTCTGCCTTACCTTCTGAGGACTCCAGGCCGAAGCCTGCTGTGCTGTTTAACCCCGTGCCCTCCTCAGGTTCTGCTCAGCAAATTCCAGATTTTACATCCAAAATGGACTCCCCCAGTCCCCACATTCTGCCACTCATGAGGGAGAAGGAGCTCTAGGAACTTGAAACAGCTCCCTCCCTCGCTACTGAGTGATTTTAGGCAATTCCATGCCCACTTGGTGCCTTAGTTTCCCCATCTCTCCGATGCAGGGGGTGAGCACAGGTGACTAATGACCCTTGTAGATCTTTGCACAGGGCAGGTGGGAGGCCAGGCCCAGGTAGGGGTTTGAGTCCTGTGAAAATAAAAGGGGGTTAAAAAGCTGAATAAAAAGGCCCTTAGCCAAGCATGGTGGCACATATCTGTGATCCTAGTGACTTAGGAGGCTGAGGCAGGAGGATCACGAGTTCAAAGCCAGCCTCAGCAACTTAGTGAGGCCCTAAGCAACTCAGTGACACCCTGTCCCTAAATAAAATATAAAAAAGGGCTGGGGATGTGGCTCAGTGATTGAGTGCCCCTGAGTTCAATCCCTGGTACCACACACACACAAACACATAGGCCCTTAGATGGCACCAAACTCCTGCCCCTCAAACACAAATGGGGAAACTGAGGCCCAGGGAGAAGGTGGGGCTGCATTGAGCCTGAAGCCAGGTCTAGAGTCTACCTGAGCCTCCAGGCCCAAGCCTCCCACTTTCCACAGGGTTGTTATTTTCAAAATTCACAAACCCTTTATTACCTATCACCTCACTGAATCCCAGGGCACTCTGCAAGGTAGAAATGGCGCTCCTGCTTTGCATGGAAAAAGACAGAGCAGTGACGCTGAGGGGTGCCATGCTTGCTAAGGGTCTTCCGGGCAGAAGCACTGGCAGTGGAGAGCCACGGCTGGCCCAGGGCTGATGGGGAGGAGGTGCCCCAGCACTCGCCCTGCCTCTTCTCCCTCCCTCTCTTCTTCGCCATCCCTCCCCAACTCCCTTCCTTCCATTCTTTCGTTTTTATCCTCCCCCTCCCCAGCAAGCATTTAGCAAGCCCAAGTTTTGTGGGAGAGAAAAGGCATGGAAGAATTAAAGCCCACAGCTTTTGGAATCACCCTCAAACCTGGGTTCAAATCCCAGCTTCATGATTTTTCTATCTGTGCAAACTTGGGCATGAACCTTCACCTCTCCGAGCCTTCATTGCCTCTTTAAAGTGGGGGAGATAATGGTACCTCCTAGATGGGCTGTGATGGTGATTCACCTGTATCATGTGTTAGAATGCTTGGTATACAGTAGGTGCTTAATAAGTGGCATCTGTTGTCCCTGCAAATGCTACTCTTTTCCTGCCCCTCCCAGCTCTCCTCCTACCTCTGGGTTGGACCACAACTCACAGACCTCCAAGCTTTAGAGCCGAACAGTCCATCCTTGGAGGCCATTGGGCATGAGTCTCGTGAGAATGCCCAGCCACATGCTGGGGGGCAAGGGTCCTGGGCAGGCCAGGGAGGGGGCTCCGGCCGCCCAGCCCGACGTCCCCCCTGTCTGCAGGCTCTACGCGCCTCTTTGGAAACGAAGTGTAAGTGCCATGGGGTGTCTGGCTCCTGCTCCATCCGCACCTGCTGGAAGGGGCTGCAGGAGCTGCGGGACGTGGCCGCTGACCTCAAGACCCGCTACCTGTCAGCCACCAAGGTAGTTCACCGACCCATGGGCACCCGCAAGCACCTGGTGCCCAAGGACCTGGATATCCGGCCTGTGAAGGACTCAGAACTCGTCTATCTGCAGAGCTCGCCCGACTTCTGCATGAAGAACGAGAAGGTGGGCTCCCACGGCACACAGGACAGGTAAGGGCAGGTCACCCCGCGGTCACTGCACTCGGCTTAGGTCACACACGGTGGGGCTCCACTGGCACCCGGGGAGTGGAGCCCCTGCCCAGCAGAGGGGGAGGCCCCAGGAATGCTGAGTGGAGATGAGAGATCCAAGGGTCGCTGCAGCACTTCTGGGAGGGCCGGAAGTGGGCAGTGGAGGCTGGCATGAGACCCCCGGCCGCCTCTCCCCTAGATGGCCAGAGACAATGACCGAGAGAGGAGAAAGGCTTTCCAACAGAAAAACAGGTGCTCAATAAATGTTTGTCAAGTAACCTGGTGAAGGATAAGGGATGTGATCAGCTGAGAGGCACCAGGGAGGTGGGCACAGGGGTCAGCTGGGCCACCCAACCAGTCTGGGGAACTGGGGGACAGTGTGGTCTGCCTGCCTTCTATAGAGGGATGACCCTGTGCCCCCTGACATGTGCAAGCCCTCCCCCAGTCCCATCTTCTCCCATGTCCTCCCAGTTTTAGAGCTGGGGCTGGGGTCCCCCATAGCTGGTCAATCACAGCTGCCACAGGGAGCTCAGGACAGGAGAGAGGGAGGGGCCGGGGTGGCTGAAGACCTGCTGTGAGACAGGACTGGTGAGGATCCAGGTGAGCACCTTGTGGAGAGAAAGCTAGTCTTGAGCTACGGGGACAGAAAGAGCTCCCTGGTCAGGCCAGGGCAGCAGGCTCTGTGAGGAGGCCCAGGTCCCATATGTCTGGGAAGCTCTCCTTGGCCATGCACAAGGCACAAGGACATATTGACGGGCCTGAGGAAGCCCCAGTGAAGGATTGGATTAAGGCAGTGTTTCCCAGAGGTGCTTGGCTGGGGAACTCTTTTATTAAGGAGCCCCTAATAGCATTCCACAAAACTGGTGTTCAGCGGGGTTAGAGGAATATTGAACTGAGAGCGGGTGTCTGGGAACGCGTCTGGCACATAGTTGGTGCCCAGCCAGCATCTGCTTCCTCCGCGGCCCACGTTCCTGTCTCCAGGAGGGGGGTGGCTTGGGGGCTCTGTCCCCACAGGCCAGGGCAGCAGGCTCTGTGAGGAGGCCCAGGCCCCATCTGGAGGCCAGATTGAGGGGTTGGGCTGAGAGGAGATGAAATGGGTCAGGCCAGGGAGACAGGAAGGAGCGAGAGTCTGGGCTGAGGCTGCAGGGCGGGTGTGAGGGGGCAAGGAGAGGGAGGAAGGTTCTAGAACACAGAGGGGCTAAACAAAGTCCACTGAAGACCCCAGAGTGAAGAGAGGGTCTCCTTGGACCTGTGAGTGGCTTTGTGTGGGTTGCGAAAGGCCACAGCTTCCCAGCTGGATGAGCCTGGCGCCTGTACTGATCTGAGGTTCAGGTTCATCTTCCTGAACCAGATGGAGCTCCAGTCTCACTTCCCAGCATCTCCTCTGTGCTGGGCTGACAGTCTCTCTCCTTTCTGCCCCTCTCCCACCACTGTTGGGAGGCCCACGGACCAGCACCATGCCTGCTCTCTTAGCACACCGGCTTGCAGGCATTCCCCCATGGCCCTCGCAGGCCCTGGTGCTGGTTGGCTTTTGCTGTAGTAACAAACAGCCCCCAGTGTCTCTGTGCCAACAGGCTTAGCATCTCAGGTCAGCTGTGGTTCACCTACCTGGGAAGTGGGGAGAGTCCTCAGGTGTCCAGGAGCAAGGGGATCCCAGAGGGGCCCTGACCTGGCCTGGGCTTCTAGAAGACTTCTTGGAGGAGGAGGTGTGGTTAGGGGCTGGGGCCTTGGGAGCAGGGGCTGCATGACCAGGCCTTGGTGGCAGTGCGGCCTGTGCACTCTGGAGCCAGCTCCCTTGTGGAGAATGCCTTGCAGCTCCTCATATCTGAGCTGGGGAAACTGAGGCCTCACCTGCTGCCAGCATTCCAAACCACAGCCCTCTCATGATTCTTTCAGAGGCCTGCACCCAGAAACCTGCCCTCCCCCCACAGCCTGTGCCACCACTCCCAGGCGTCCCCGAGGATCTTCCCCAGCCCCACGGCACCACCTTCCCAACTCCCACTCCCAGGCACAATTTCATGTCAACAGTCAAGGAATAAAAAGAAACCCTGTCCCCTTCCTATTCCAGAGGGTAGAGTGGTTAACCAGAGACCTGCTGGATAGGGATAAGGGGACTTATGGGTGTTGAGTGACTAAATAAGGGTTAAGTGACTTAAATCACACAGCCAGTGAAGAGCAGAGCTGGCATTGGAACCCAGGTCTGCCTGGCTCTAAGGCATGTGATCTTCCAGGCATGAAGATCACATGCCTGCCTCCTGCCCCCAGCTCCATATTTGAGTCACCTGCTGACTCTCCAGGGTGTCCCCTCCCGCAAGCCCTCTCTCACTCCAAGGCCCTGCCCAGTTCAGGCCAGCATCCTCCTGGCCTTCCTGCCTCCAGCCCTACCCTTCTACCTGTTCTCTCACTATTCTGACACATGCTCTTTGCTTTTGCCTGGGCTGCTCCCTCTATCCAACACCCTTCCCCTCCTCTGCCGGTTAGATGCCTGCTCATCTCATGTGGGTTAGCTTAGATGACCCTCCTGTCTCCTGAACTCTTGCAGAGCCTGTGCTCAACCTGTGGGACCTTGGGCAAGTCCCCTCTTCATACTCTGCTGTAGTTTCCTCATCCATAAAGATGAGGATTGGTTAGCTGGATACAGTGACGCACATCTGGAATCCCAGTGACTTGGGAGGCTGAGGCAGGAGGATCACAAGTTAGCAAGACCCTATCTCAACATAAAATCAAATATAAAAGGGGATGTAGCTCAGTGCTAGAGTGCCCCTGGGTTCAATCCCCAGCACCATGGAGCACCCAGGAGAGATGAGATGCCTCAGTCATCTCTAGGGCTTGCCACCTTGGGCATTCTGGGATGCCTCTGTCCACATGGCTGTGGGAGCCTTTTGTTTCTGCCTGGTGCCCAGATTCCTGCTGCTCTGTTCCCATAAAATATTCCCTCTCCAGCCTCAGCCTGGCTAGAGGAGACCATCTGAACAGATGTCTCTTGACTAGATGGAGCTGATAGCAGCAGAAGGGTGTGTGCACTTCAGAGGAAACTTTGGTGGCTCCTCATCCTACAGTAATGAGCCATGGGTCTTAGGGGAGAGACATGAGCAGTGGCTCTGGTGCCAGAAAGAACGTAAGCCCTGCTTGTCCATAGACCCAAGTGGGAGTCCTAGGCCTCTGCCCTTTGGTGAGCCTGCATCCTCTGGATAATGGGGGCAACAGCACCCTCCAACCAAGGACATTGCAGGCCTCCAGAAAGTTAAAATTCTGGAGGGACATGGCTGACACCTAGGAGTTGAGTGCCAGCAGCCTCTCTCCCTCCACAGTGTGCCAAACTCACTTCACCTCTCCTCCAAGGCCATTTTAGGTGTTTCAGAATTTGTCCTGAGATTCTGAAAGTAAATTTGACTCTCACATCTATTATAATATATTTCAATGTGAAGTTAGGACGATTGGACTGGTGCGGGGAGCCTTTCGGTATTTAGAAGTAGAAGAAACAGAGACACCTCCCAGGAAACAAAACAGCCCCATCATTTTGGTAATGGAAATAGAGGGGATTAGACCTACCCTAGGCAAGAGGATTACTTCAAATTCCCCAGAGATCAAGAGGGGCTGAGAACCGCGGCCTTGGGGAGGCTTGCAGGTGGGGCCCTGGGGGCGACCCACGGAGCACTCACTGACCTCGCGTTCCCACCCCCCAGGCAGTGCAACAAGACGTCCAACGGCAGTGACAGCTGCGACCTCATGTGCTGTGGCCGTGGCTACAACCCCTACACGGACCGCGTGGTAGAGCGGTGCCGCTGCAAGTATCACTGGTGCTGCTACGTCACCTGCCACAGCTGCGAGCGCACCGTGGAGCGCTACGTCTGCAAGTGAGGCCACGCCCTCGCCCAGCAGGAGCGCGGACTCCTCGGGACCCTCCGCAGGGCGGGGCCTGGAGGCACCCCCTGGACTTTTCCCATGCGAATTCCAGATGCCAGGCGCGGGAGGCGGCTTGTGTTTTGCCTCCACTTGGAAGCCACCAGGAACAGAAGGCCTGGTCACTCTGGAAGGAGGGCCGAGACATCAAAGGAACCGACAAGATTAAAAATAACCTGGCAGCCCCAGGCCCTGGAGTGTCGCGCTGCCTTCCAGACTGGTCCAAGCAGCCAGGGTGAGAGGCTGGTGAGACTGTGTGGACTTGACCTTTCGGGGCCACGAAGATCAGCCTTTGGGAATGTTCTGCGGGGCCCTCGGCCCACCACATGGAACCACTAGATTGGGTTGTAAATGTTTTTCGGGTTTTTTTTTTTTTTTCTTCTTCCTCCTTTGGGATGTGGGAGCTACAGAAATATTTATAAAACATAGCTTTTTCTTTGGGGTGGCTCACCTCAGTTCCTCTTTATATATTTTATATATAAATATATATATATAATGATTATATTTTAAACAAGCTTTTTAAACAGCTGTATGGAATAAATGCTGAGCGAGCCCCAGCCCGCCCCTGCAGTTTCTGGCCTCCTCAAGTGATCCTGGGGCTGGCGGGGAGGACTCTCCGGTTTCCAGGCAAGGCGGCGTCCGATTGATGTCCCAGCTCCCCCTTGTTCCCCCCACACTCGGCCCTGGCCCCAGTTTCCCTCTAGGATCTCTTGGTCAAGGGCGGGGACAGACGTCTTGAAACATAAACCCAGCTGGCAGCTCTTTGTTCCTCAGGGACACACACGCAGGCGCACAGCCCGCTCCTCCATGTGGTCCGACCTGCTAAGCCAGCTGTAAGAGAAAACTCCACCAGGGAGCTGCGGACCTCAGGGAAGTGGCAGACCTGGTTCCGCTAGCCCAAGTGGGTTTTCTGTGTGATCCTGGGGAAGAGCCCTCAGTTTCCCCACTTGTAAAACAGGACTGGTGGTGATCAAGCTTGGAGGTTGGGAAAGGGCCCAGCCCTGGGCCTGGACCAGGCTGGTGGACATGATGAGGGGGGCTGGGTTCCCATTCCGTTTTGGCAGTGGAGCCAACAGGATTTGTTCTCTTTTTCATGGGGGAGAGGGCTGGGAAGGAGGTCCAAGGAGGAGGTTCAAGAAGGACTGCCAGGGGAGGGGTGGGAGCATTTGGAAGGACAGAGGGGCCAATTGCAAGGCAGAGGTGGAGAGAGGAGAGGACTGGGACTCAGATTTGGACACATGGGGATGGAGATGTCAGTTAGGTTCCATGTGGAAATTCTGAAGAGTTGGGTAGACACTGGGGCCTGGAGTTCTGGGAAGAGGCCAGTGCTGGAGGCACATTTGGGTGTCATCTGTAAGGGACTGGGTGGGCTAGGGAAGCCTGGGAACCAGGCCCAGGCCTGGGGTGCTTCTGGGACAGAGAGGTAGAGAAGGAATAGGGGCAGAGATAGAACAGCCAGGGAGGTGGCAGGAAACAGGTGGGGGTCCTGACAGGGTCCCCAGGGGAGCAGGATGGCTGTGGGCATATAGCTTTCTGTCTAGCATCATTTCCTGCATGTGGGCAGAACTGAGAAGCAAGTAATGAGCAAGGGAACATTCTTGGGGACCCAGCCCATGACAGGTGCATCTAAATGGGAACAGTAATTAATCACTGGTATCCTGCTCTGCCTGTGAGGAGACCATTCAGGGCAAAGAATATACAAGAATGTTCTAAACAATTTCTCTGAGTGGCCCCCACACATGGACACTGAGGGGTGGGCTCTGTCCTCTCCAGAGCCAGGTAAAGACTGAGATACCAGCTAGCAGGACTGGGGTAGAGGGGTACCTCAGAAACTGAGCAAGGGTTGTGAGGTGAAGTAGGGATTCCTGGGGGTGGAATGGCATTGATGAACCCCCAGGGGCTGGACCATGAACAGAGTGGGGGGAGGGAGAACTTTGATGACATCCTCCAAAAGGTGAAAGCTTGCAGTGGGCGTGGCCTGAATCGTAGACTCCCAGGCTGGAAGGAACCTCAGATAAGTCTTCTGGTCTCCTCTCAGTCTGCTTTGCAGATGTGGAAATCAGAGACGGGAAGGGCCTTTCCTGCAGTCACAGAGCTGATAAGGGGTAGGGGATGGGTTGGGAGCATTCCAGGGTGTAGTCCCTGCTAGGCCCTCTCCCTCCACTACCCTGGAGTATGCTCTTCTCCAAGCCAAGGGTTCATTGACCCCATGGCCCACAAAATCAATGCCCAGTCCCCTGGCCTGGCACCCGAGCCCATCCCCCAATCCCAGGGAGCCTTCCAGCTACAGGCGCTCCCTCTGCTCCAGCCACAAGCAGAGAAGCTCGCTTACCACTAGGGAAATGCTGGAATCAGCCTGCTCAGAAGCCTGCCTCTGGGCATCTGTGGGTCCCTTGGAGACCAGGAATGACCCTCTTGGAACCCTCTTTTGGAGCACTCTTCCCAAAGCCTTCCCCAGTGATCTTTCTTCCTCCATTCCCATCATCCTTAAAACCTTTAATGCAGCCATGGTCCTCATCCTCCAGTGACCAGCCCACGCCTTCTCCTCCTGCAAGGCCCAGGATGCCCCTTCTGCAGGAACCCCTCCCTGATCACCATCAGTCTGGACCAGGGGCTTCCCCTGGATGCCCACAGCCTCTGGGCTCCTCTAAGGCTGAGCTGAGCCAGGGTGTCGTAGGGGCCTGGGTTGTGTCTGTATCTGCCTCCCCGACTGTCTTGGGCCACCTCATGAACTGGGACAAGCACCATGTACCCATTAAGCCCTGGGAGCTGAGTACAAAACATGCCTCAAAAATGTTGGATTTGCTGGGTTGGGGATTAAGCTCAGTAGCAGAGCGCTTGCCTAGCACGTGTAAGGCCCTGAGTTCAGTTTCAGCCCTGAAAAAAAAAAAAGAATAAAAATGTTGAATTTGGGGTGTCCTTTGGACTTTAACCAAGCAAATGGGGAAAACAGAAGAAGGAACCAGAATGCCTCAGAAAGGGTGAACAGGTAACATGAATGCTAATATTTATTGGGTACCTCCTGTGTCTTGTTCCAAACACATTGTCCCAAGTAATTTTTATGGCAGCCTCTCCCCAGGTGGGAGAGGACCCTCTGACAGGAGGAAACTAGGCCCTGAGGGTCAGGTGGCTTGCCCCAGGCCCCTGGAAAGTTCACAGCAGAGCTGTGTCCCTTCTCCAGTTGGCCAGCAGGGGAGCCCTCGAGGCACAGGACAGTAGACCCAGTGGGTCCCTGACTAATGGGTCTTGTGTACCTGCCACTGGCCAGTCCTGGACCTCTGACAAAGCCCTGCACCTTTCTGACTGGCCAGGGGCTAGGAAATCAAGAGGATGTGGGAGTAGGTCCCTGGATGGTGCTCCTTCTGGCAGGCTGGGTTCTGAGCAGGTGAGGCAGGGGCCTCCTCCAGTGTGAGTGACAGGCCCCAGAGGCTGCTGGGTCTCAGGCCTCCAGCAGCTCAGGAGCCACTGTGTTCAGAGATTTATGAGAATAAAATCTTGGTGCCTGAGACTTTTAGAATAAAATCCTCAAACCTGGCACTGGAAGCCCTGTACAGGCCACGCCCAGGGACTGACAGGTGGGCGCCACAGCTCTTGATTGTCACGTCGGGACTCCCTGCCCAGGCCATATTCTACGTGTCCAGTGTGTAAGGGGCAGCGCTCCCGGCCAGGCTCCCTGAGGTTGGGAGATGGAAGCACCTGGCCAGGACTGCACCAGCTGCACTGAGGCTGAGCAGCGGGGGAGGCTGGGGGGCTGGCTGGGATCAGGATCGGAGAAACCAGGCGGCAGAGAGGAAGCAGGAACTCCTGGAAGGGGGAGAGATTAGTTTGGTGGGAAAGGAGAGACTGGAAGATAAGGCCCCCCGGGGAGGACTGCTCAGGTCAGAGAGGCCACCAAGGGGCCCACACCCAGCCCAAGCAAGCCCTGGTCTGTTGTTTCTAAGGCACGGAGGCCAACAGCCGAGTACACAGGCCAGGCCTCCAGCCTGACACAGGCCCCCGTCCAGGACCCCAGGCCCAGGAGCGGCTACCTGGGCTGGGGAGAGGTCTGGGCTAATCCCAGTATCTTTTCTGTTCTCTTGCTGTGTGACTCCAGGTAACCAGGTCAGAGCCTTCTCTGACCTTTTTGATTTTCACAACTATTCTAAGGAATATGTCCTAGTATCTCTATTTTATAAGTGGGGAAACAGGCTCAGAGTGGGAAGTATCTGGCCCAAGGTTGCAGAGCCAGAATTAAAAAACTCCAGACTGTCTGGCTCCAATTCTCGAGTCTATACTCAGCCTCCATCACCAGCATCCTAGGGGCGAAGGTGGACTCATGCTAAGGAGTGGTCAGCATCACGGGGGTGGGGGCCTCTCCTACCCTATCCTCCACAGGTGAGTTGTTCGCCATTGCCTGGGTTCCTGGCCTCCACCTGTGTGGCAGAAAGATTGAAGAGCAGGTGTCCCCCTTAAGTGGCCCACAGCTCTTAGTATAATAGCAAAGGACAGAGGCAGGAGACAGGCAGAGTCCTGGGGGCTCCAGGGATCTGGGCCGGAAAGTCCACTTCTCTCTGGGCGTTGGGTATAGGAAGTAGAGTTCAGGAAGACTTCCTGGAAGAGGTGCCATCTGCACTGGGTTCAGAAGGCTGAGTAGAATTTCAGGAGATGGAAAGGGAGGTCAAGGGGAGAGAGGTGCCTAAGCAGAGTGACTCCAGGACCACACAGAGGGTGCCGGGAAGTGGAGACAGCTGGAGCTCTGGGGCAGCAAAGGTCAGAGCCAGGCTACCACAGACCCCAGGGTGGTTTGTTAGAGTGGGGGTGTCTGAGTCCACCCCCCAGGTGCTGGCTGCCAGCTGGACTGTCCACTGCCTGCAGAGATGGCTGGCTTCAGGCAGAGCAATTTATCAGTCGCATACTTAATGGGTCCCCTTGCTCCCGTAGACCAAATCAATATCCGCTCTGCTCCCCGGGCCGGTGGCTGCTGAAAACATTCTCCTTGTCAGCCCCTTGGTCCCCCACTGCCTCACCTGTGGGGCTCCAGGGACAAGGGTGGAGGTGAGGGGCTGATGGTGGAGGAGGTGGCAGGTTAGGACAACCGTCCCAGATGCCGCCCAACTCTGGCTGGCAGAAGGACCAGAGTGCCCCACAGCCACGAGGCCACCAGGTAAGGTCGGGTTTGCAAGAGGCCCAGGCCAGTGCTCCCCGGCAGGACCACAGATGCAGGCCACAGACTTTGTGTCTCCACTGCGTTTGCCTCCATAAAAGTGTGCTGTGATCAAGGGGCTGGGGAGAGGGAGCTGTCTGGGAGGTGCGGGGACAGTATCATGTTAAACACTGTGACCCCGAGGGCTTATTTCCTGTCCAGATTCTCAGAGTCAGTTTGTCTTGGGTTCAGGCCCTCCACTCGGAAGCCTCCCACAGTCCTGTGAGTTCAGCTGATGGAGGCTGACAGTCCTGAACTGTG